CAAAGCCATTCATGCTTGGGCCACTAACCCACCATTAATCACTAATGAACCACTCCTGACCGATTTATATATAGAGATCAAAAATCAAAAAATAAACTACCTCCAGATACTGTAGGGCAGCCTTCCTTCACATTCATGCTGCTGCCCCCTTTCTTAGATCAGCTTGTGTATTCAACTTCCAATTTTTCTGTAAAGTTTCTGAAATAACCCCCTTCGGTAGAAACAGAAATATGGGTATTCGGACATCCCGTTCCCATTTTTCACAAAGATATACATAAAAGTGTACTTTGCATCCTTATAAACTTCAACCTACAGAAGAGCTTAGAGTTAGCTCTTATCGTAAAAAGGAGAAGATCACAAAAATGCATATAAATTACTAGCATTTTCTCATCGGCGCTACTAGGGATAATACGAGGTCACCTTCACAGCTCAATTAGCGAATATCGCACTTCCGGCTGTTGATTACAGCATCGCTCACAGGATGTGCAAAATTTCCGTGAATGTCGCGAAATTCTGAAAATTCCGCGAAATTCCGGGAATTCCGCTGAGTTCCGGAAATTCCGCGAAATTCCGGGATTTGGGAAACTTCGCGGAATTCCGGGAATTTCGCGGAATTTTCGAAATTGCGCGATATTTACAGGTTTCTGCAAGTTATGTGGGTGGTAATATATATCAAGTTTTTTGTTGAAAATGAAATGAACCAAGGATAAACTATAAACTATAACAACTTATCGAAAGACGACTTCATTTTATCGTACATACAAAAGCATGTGGGCATTTATAATAAGCTGATTAAGTTCAACTCTACGTTACATATTTATGATATATGGGCACTTTGGAGACTGCGAAAAATTGCAGGTAAGTACTCCACAATTTATCTTCACATTTTAGACAAAAACGTAATAAAAAGTTTATAAGAAAATTATAAAAGTTGATAATAATAGAAGTTAGCATAATAAAAGCTTACTAGCCTAAGTAATGAACTTTATAAACTTTCAAAAAAGAGAGTAAATGTGCATAATTCTAGATCTTCCTTCTTTGCTGAGGAGTTCGTGAGGAAACCCTAGAACTTTTTTTCAAACTCCGTCTAAAAGAAGAAGAAATGGAGTAATAATGTATAGTGCTCTCACAGAGATGTTTCGAGAGATATCATTACAAACAGTGTCCCAAAAGTGTGTATAAACTGTTTGATCGTTGATATCTCTCTTTACAAAAAGTCTTTCATATATCTTCAAACGTTCTCGTTCCAAAATCAATTTGCTTATTGATGGAACTCGCAACCTGGGAGGCATATTAGCAACTGCGGCAGTTCTATTTTGTATTTTGCAAAACCTTGAAATGCTGGTCATAATCGCATTTATTTTCATCAAAGTTCATTTCAGCAGGTTCTCAGCTGAGCTTGGTATTGTTTCCCTTTGGATACCTAGCAGCAAGAGCGCTAAGGAAACCATGCAATGATCATTGTTGAGATTAATCGTCGACTTAAGTGAAGCTTGAGTTCTAGTTTTTAGAGTGATCTTTTCCAGCAGTAACTCGAAATTCATTACTAACATATCATATTAACTTTTGAAATTATCTCTAATCATCACCATTTTTAAAAGGATCTCGCTCAGAATTTTTGAGCAGGGCTCAGCACAGGTGGCTCACGGAGCAGGGTGGACATCGTTTTGGAGTGAGAAGCAGAAGGAATATCGTTTTTGCTGGTCCGGGGAGCCCCGAAAATGTGTGTGTAAGCCTTTGTTTGTTATTTTTGAAGAAGGTATGTAATAGTTTGTTGTATATGAAGAAATCGCCGTTTGGTGCAAGACGGACTATCGAGATGGGGGTTCAAAGGTCCTGAACGCAAGAAAATCCAAAACTGGAAAAAAATAAGTAAAAACTTCAACGAGTTGGCCAGTTTCCGCCCACTGACTTAGCAATTTTTGCAGCCTTCCTCCCCCCCCCCCCCTTCCTCCTCAAAAGGAAAGGATACTTGATCGCAGTGACGATTGGGTAAGCGGTGTATACCGCTTATACCGTCTCCAGACGGTGATCTCTAAACTGCGTTCCATATCTGCTATGACGTCATTCTCGAGGAGTTATAAAGAGTTTCTGGTGCAGTGGATAGTGGCTTGGATTGCGGAGTTGGACGTGGTGGGTTCGATTCCCCTGGGATGCCGCCCTTTTTGCTTTTTTTAAATTTTAGCAGGCAAGTTGCAAAACCTGTCGACATCAAAAAAGTTGATTTTCACAATATGAAGCAATATATTTACATTTATTGACTATGAACCACCGTCTAAAAACACTCGTTTTTAGCCTTTTTCATTAAATACTTTATATCGAAAAATTCCGAATTCGTGCTTTTCGTGCTCAACATAGAGAGAAGCAGCTAACCTGTCAAAAATGGTGTCTTTATCGATTTTTTGATGCACAATACAGGGTGTCCCAGAACAATGTGCCTACTTTTTGATTGTAAATAACTCTCTTGTAACGAAGTGTTTCGAGAAGCTTTGGATACCGTTTTGTAGAGCGAGGTTAAACTTAGATTTATGCATAGAGCGAATCATCTATCGCTTTTCATTACTGTAGGATTACGGTAAGAAATTCCATTACATGGAACCAGTGTGAAATATACCACCTAATGAAATTTTCTTCAAAAAATCTCAAAATTCGTGTAGTAGTGTTTTCGCGCATGCTGATTCCACCTAACGACTTTTTACGATTGTTTTCAGCTTTTTTGACGGTGTAATTACATTTCTAACAAATGTTGGGAATTGAGTTATTATGATTTACCTGGAATAACTTTGGAAGGAAGCACCACAATACAATGGGGATTTCACATTCGGAATCAGCGGCTCCCATTACCGTAATGTAAGAGTTTTTGGCTTGTTTGGTTTCGTTCCGAGGCAGACTATAGCCTCCAATGGCCTAAAATCCTTGTCGAAGTTCGTACCGTAATCCTACAGTAATGAAGAGCGATAGATGATTTGCTCTATGCTTAGATCTAAGTTTAACCTCGCTCTACAAAATAGTACCTAAAGCTTCTCGAAACGCTTCATTACAAGAGAGTTATTTACAATCAAACAGTAGGCACATTTTTTGGGACACCCTGTATGTTAATCAACTGCAATGTTTAAGGCTAAAAACGAGTGTTGTTAGGTTAGGCGGTGGTTTAGTGCCAATAATGAAAATATATTGCTTCATATTGTGAAAATCAACTTTTTTTATGTCGAGAGGTTTTGCAACTTGCCTGCTAAAATTTGCAGAAATGCAAAACGGGTGGCATCCCAGAGGAATCGAACCCACGACGTCCAGCTTTTGCAGTCCAAGCCACTGTCCACTGCACCAAAAATCCTTTATAACCAGGGTAAAACGGGGGGTGCGGCACGCCGCACCGGGGGGTCGTAAGGGGAAGGGGGGGCAGGTGAGGGAGGGGTAGGTGAGGGGGGGTCATACCGACCCAAGGTCAAAAGCGGTTTTCAAAGGGAAAAGCACTGCAGCTAAGTTTTTAGATGTGCCTTTCCCAACTACCTCTGACAACCCAGCCAATGTAATCGAGAGAAATACGAAATACATCAAGTATGTCGGCTTCCATAATAAAATAGCTGGGCATCCTCTATTGAAGATTCCGGAACTTATCAATCCAGAGTGGAGGCAGATCAAAATCGCAGTTGATCTTAATAGCTGGTGCTGGTGTCATGGCGTCAAACGTCTAAACATTCGATAAGAAAGGTGGAAATGTTCGCGTGTCTTGTTCTGTGCTGCCGTTTACACAGCCGGTTTGTTTGGAGAAATCTGATTATTTCAATTAGAGATGCAATGCAAAGTGAAAAGATGTAGTTTCGCTGTACAAGCTGTGTAACTAAATTGACTTGACGACGCTATTGAAGTCCTGCAAAATTCAAGTTCAATGACACAAACTTGCAGTTACCGTACGCCTACCGTAATCTACCGTACCGCTCATCAAGTATCATTATCGTAATCAGCGTGTCGAATAACCCCTATGCGCCAAGTTTCAACAAACTCTGAGGACTCCGAGTAGTAAATTAACTTGTATGAAACAGTAATTTCAAACATGATTAACTTCATTTTAAAGGTGAGTAAGATACCTACCTCTTCTTGCACTAAATACAAAGCACTACCCCTCCCTTCCTTGCATAAGCCACTTCAAGAAACCTCCATGCTGTGGAATCAGAAGATTGCCAAATCCCACCTACAAATTTCAATGGCTAACAGAGCCATCCTTCTTCTCTTCACAGTAGCATTTATCCCCCAAAGCGCTTCCTCTAAGAAAAGATACAGGGGAACTTCTGAACCCTATGCGCTGAAGGCACGGCTCTGAAAACCGTCAAAAATTTTGAGTACGGTAGTGCTCGAAATATTGCGAACACACCAAGGCGCGAGCCACTAGGCTTTGAGAGCCGCTTGCTTTCGGCTTGAGTGTTTTCGCTTTTTTTCTATTTTTCTCCCTCTCTTTCATCTCATACTCTCTCTCTTTCTATCTTGCTCTTTCATCGAATCCAGCGATCATCGAACAAGAGAGTTTGCTCTTCCGCCATTTCGCTTTCGTACTCTTTTCTCGTTATTTCGTTTAAGTTGTTTTTCGTGTTCGTTTTTTTCGTTTTCGTTTCTGTTTTCTGTTGAAGGTACGTAGTCATATGTATGTTGATGTTTTCAAGAAGTTGTTTCATGGCAAATCAATTTCTCTTCAGGGAAAGCCAGCTGATTAGCCACAGCAACCGCCTCTCGAGTATGATCCCGTTTTATGTCAGAAAGCTAGTTGTAAAGCTATTTTGAACCCGCTATGGCGAGTCAAGCTTATCTTATGTTCGAATATCAGCTTATTTTGGCCGTTTTGAGACCCTGTGAACGAGTCAGTAAGCGCTGTGCAACGGTTTGTAAGTGACTTTTTACTGAAATGTAAGCAGCACTTGTCTTTTCTTTCAAAACCGTTTTTTCCATTATGTTAAGAATTTTTTTTTGCATTAACATGTTAAAACTTTACCTATAGGTTGAACTTGATGTATACCGTTGTAACAAGCAGCCATCCGTTATGCTCACGTAATTCTTTCAGTTTCGTGGACTTCCGCGCTGAAACCTGGGTGTGTCCTTTCGGTAACCAGAGGAATCCATTTCCTGCTTACTATGCCGCAATCGCTGTGGATAATCGACCACCCGAACTGTATCCGCAGTTTACAACGATAGAATACACGCTGAAGGTGAAAGTTAAGATATTTATTTTTGATTTCCATATGTTTAAGGTAAACTCCTATTCAAACAGTCAGATGATATCTGATCATAGCCATAAGCCTTGGAAATTCTTGTGAGCGTTTGCATCGCTTGTATCTGAATGGGCATGTTTCGTTTTCTGCGTACTCCTCATCCTTTTCTGAGCTCAGGGAGATTTTCTGTCACCGCTTTCAAAAGAATTTGAGAGCTTTAACGTTTATTTGCTTATTCAGTTGAGTGGCAAAACATAGCACTCTTATCTGATAGGTGCTATAAGGTAGCCTAGAAATTTCACAGTAATTGTTGCTTTGGTGTACGATAACATTCTGATGCTTTCATGGTGTATTGACTTGGTGGATAACGCATACTGTTGCAGAAAGCTACCACAATGCGGCCAATCTTTATGTTTGTGTGGACACTTGCGTAACTCCTGATGAACTCAAGGCGCTGAAGGAAAGCTTGCAGGTCTGAGATTGTCAATTTTCATCCGCGCCTTGTGTGGCTTAGCCGATTTATTTGTGATTTATTTGTGCTCAAAACATATTTTTGCGAAATCTTTCATTCCATTGTATTATACAGCTCTGTCACTGCTTCCCGCCGATGCTATGATTGGCATAATTACTTATGGTCGAATGGTTCAGCTGCACGAACTTAACGTACAAGGAATCAGCCGAAGTTTTGTATTCAAGGTTAGTTTCCTTTGCTTTGTGCTGATCAACGGCAGTGCCTTTGAGCTTTTGAAGAGAGGGAATCCCACCTATTCATTCTTTGGAAGGGATATTTGCACGGGAGATCATAAGGTATGAGTTTTAGATAGTGGTTACGATTTGCAATATACAATTTTGTCATCAATGAAATACTTTTCAGCCTGTCGCCCTAGCTTTTTCGCTCACTCCGTGAGTTCTGCACGCTTTCTTTTTATTTTAACTTAAACGTCCGAGCTGTGATTCGTTTATCATATTTTAGTAAATTATTATTCTCATTCCTTATAAGTTGTGATTGTGATGCTCATTTGGATGATTAAATATTGTGATCCTGCCTTCGGTAGGACTATCTAGTTTTTATGAGTTCCTCACCAGCTCTACTTTTGAGTATCTGGTTTGTTTTACTACTTCTGTTCGGTCATCGCAATCAAACAAATGCTGATTGTCTGTCAGTGGTGCTGATGACAGTGAACTGACGAATCGTTGATGTGAGAGCACTTCCTAAACGAACGATTCGTCAGTTCACTGTCATCAGCACCACTGACAGACAATCAGCATTTGTTTGATTGCGATGACCGAACAGAACTAGACAAACCAGATACTCAAAAAAGAACTGGTGAGGAACTCATAAGAACTAGATAGTCCTTCCAAAGGCGGGATTTTTGACTTACGCAAATTAAGTTCTTAAGCTGCATTTGTAATAGTAGACGATTGCATATAGCGAATATTCTAGACCAGTCTTTCAGATCTAGCAGTTTGTTCCGCACTTGAGATTTGACAGTCTATCATGTGAGAAAATATCTTCTTTATTGATTTCACTTAACAACTCAGCTCCATTTATGGGTGAAGCAGTAGTTGCATTCAGGATTTGCCAGATTTCATCTTGGCAACTAACTCTATTTGCTCTGTGATTGGTCGTAACAATATGCAAAGCTAGAGGTAATCCTGGAAAGTTGGTTTATTGATGTGTAGCTTCACCATCTAGTTGTACTGTAGGTGTCGATCAAATCTAGTCAACTCCCATCTCATGATATCGTTTATCGAGACACCGATGTTGTCAGAATTACGTCATAAAGATATTATATTTACTCTAGACATGAAATTCACACAGACGGATATGCGAAAGGAACGTGATTCGTTTAGGAAGTGCTCTTACATCTACGGGGTAGAAGCTTGTGCATTCGTTGTAGTCGGGAGTTCGGGTGTGGGGGGAGAGGGGGGGATAAAGAATGGGGGGGGGGTCGTGCCGGGGTCCGGCCCAAGGGGGGGGGGTCGTATCCGACGGTCTGTGCCGCACCCCCCGCTTTGCCCTGTTTATAACTCCTCCAGCATGACGTCATAGCAGATATGGAATGCGGTTCAGAGATCACCGTCTAGGGACGGTATACGCGGTATACACCGCTTACCCAATCGTCACTGTGATAAAGTATCCTTCCTTTGTCAGAAACAAAGCTTATCCCAGCGTTGTTATAACATGAGTGTCTACACGACATACTTCCATTTTTCATCAGAAACTCCCAACTTTTTCTTTCCTTCTCTCTTCTCCCCCCTCTCCTCTTCCTTTATAACCACCCATTCCCATCTTTTATACCATTTCTTCATCCTATGGAGATGTCAAAAATGCTCAGCACTGCCCTACCTATTCAGTTCTTTGCAAGAGCAGCAAATCAGCTACAATATCCTCGCCGCGCAAGCGCGGGAATTCAAAAATGCCCGGGATAGTTGGAAGACTTGCTTACAACAAAGAGGAAATGATATACACCAAAGTTGTTGTGTAAATGCGCAGAAAGAAGTTGGAACTATGTGCGAAAAATTATGAAAAGTTATGTGAACTGAACGCGTGGCAAATTTTTGTCCGAGTAAAGTGGCTTTTCAGCCACTTGGACAGCCACTTGACGTGGCTGCGAAAAGAAAGAGTCACAAATTCTCCTTCACATAATTTCTTCACATGTTCAACATGACTTTGTTCCACATAAAAAAACCCTACAACTAAGTTTCTGAATCTCCCTAAACCCCTCCTACTCATCTAGTTGCCCTCCAGATCTTTTGTATACCATACAAAAGGCAGCGGGAAGCCTGCACCAAGCGCGCGATCGTGCGCGTCGGACACAGCATAGAGAAGGAGAAAACTTGGATATTACCTTTTCTCGAAATTTTGCACCCGGATAGGGAGAATTACGACTAAAAGCCGCAAAACCTGTTTTAAACTTCTTCCCGCAAACATTAGGCTCTATAATTACTATTATTGGAGAGAAACAGAAATGGAACCTCAATGTCCATGTTACAGCGTGCACTTGTTTTCGTACAAAAATGCAATTACATCATTGCGTCTTTCAGAAAATCGCCACAGTCCTGAGACGACCGACATGAGCTGACTTAGGTATTCAGAAAACCAAAGTCTCATTGGAGTTTGCAAAACTTTCACGAAGTCTCTTCTTGTGTCACATTAATGAAAAGTTCTTCAAACACAATGAGAGATCGATAATCACAACGAGTGAGTAGGGGCGAGCTGTTACTATTGGAGATTGTTTTATCGAAGATATAGAAGGCAAAAAAGCATAGAAAAGAGGTATAACACGATGCCTGTAGTTTCCAAAGGTCAGATTTGTATATTAGAAGTCAAGAAAATGCCTGTTTTATCTTATTTTTCAGTATACTTATGATGTAGCATAGAGGAGAAAATTGAACAAAGAAAACACGAACAGAAGGCAGAAACCCCAGCCTCAACCACATGGAGTTGAATATGATAGAAGAATATAAAATAAGAAGAAGCTTTAGACCAAATGCAAGCACCCTTTAGATGAGGCTGCAAAGCTTCAGGAAAGTAATCAAGAAAGAATATATAAGAATCTGTTTCTTTAAGAGTAAATCCTGTTTACTGTAAAATTATGATGATCCCGTATCGGCACCCTGTCCTCGACAAAGATTCATTATAAAAACAAACAAGATTTCTGTTTACTCATAATGGATGGAGTGTTTTCAAGAAGATGTAGTCTAAGGTCTGAAGTTAGATTTCGGTGAAAGCGTTGACTGTCGGCGCCAGCTGAGCTGGTACCCGCTTCGCACGCTACCTGCTGATTTAAAAGGAGGTTTGTCACGGCTATTATTCAAATTTCTCCAAAACTTTATCAAACTGACGTATTTACCTCATGCGCAAACACCGAAGTTGGTGTCGTATCGCTTAAAGGCGGAGCCAGGGGAAATCTGGGCACACGGGGACCGCAGGCGGAAGCTGATTTCGAAAGCCTATTTGAGGCACTGCTTAAGTGCAAATGGTGCACTTGCGGTTGAGATATTCGTCCCCAAATTAGAGCCGATACTAAACTTGGCGAACAACTTGCATTGGGTTTGCAGTTATTGCGTGCGTACTGACCGCCTGTCATTCAAACAAGACTTCTTATTTGTGGCGCATATTCTGATTCATGCCTTGTGCAACATATCGTACTCAAATTTGCTCCGATTATGTCACTAAGTATCTATAAGGCGGACTAGATGCTTCCGTATTATTTGAAACTGCATAAACTCGCATTTAAACACAAATAAGAACAGAATATGCTAAAGAAGAAAATGTGCGAAGTGTTGATTATAGCATTTATTTTTTATTCTGACGTTGCATTTCCATGATCGATTTTGGGAAAGTGTGCTTTGGTGACAAAGTTCCCAGTTTACAAAAAAATGCGTACTTTTTCTTTTCAAAATTTTCGGCTCCTTGGAAAAGTCTATGAGAGCGGGGTTTGTTGGCCACTGATATTTGGCTGATTACGTACACGCCTCTAACAGTGAGTTATTTCATCGACAACCAAATAAATTGAGGCATTCTCTTCAAAATAGATCTATAATATACTGCTTGAAGTCCATTAATCAATTTAAAGTAATAGATATCAGGGATGTATGGAACACATAACCTAATTTCCATATAAATGTCGCGAATAGTCTCGCGCACAATATCTTTATATAATGTGCAGCAAAATGTAGGCATTTTTTGGTTGCGAGAGCGTTACGTGGAGTGCGTGCTACTCTTCCGTACAATAGTATTATGTAAGGTGCAATAAAAAAAAAGTTTGGTGTTAAAAGCTGTGTTACCCGTCTTAAATCTGTCTATACAATAAAACTTTTGTATGACGACGTGCAGTGTACTTACTTAAAGGCAGCGTCCAGGCAAGTCTGGACACATGGGGCCGTAGTAATCTACCCTACCTGGTGGCATCATAGATGCCGGCAAGTTGGCACACATCGCGGAAAGATGCCAACTCCGCCGGCAGCTCGCGGAGTGATTGTAGGTTTTAATAATCTTGTATAATCTCAGTACGCGGTTATTTCGCTCATCAAATGTTGATAACGTAGACAGTCGCAAAACTGCTGTCTCGCGCGCGGTCGAACCTAAGTGTGCTAACTTCAACTGCTGCCGCGTTACCACTCGACCATTCGGTCAGTTCTTGACTGTTTGCATCAGCAATGTGAGCAACGCACTGGTAAATGGCCGCATGAAAGAAGGATCGATACATTGCGCGAGAGACTTTGACCTGAAAGAACAGCTGATTGATATGAGCGAGAGAGGGGCAAAATCGGTGCAAATAAGATTTAGAAAGGATTGCAAAAAAAGATGGTGTTCCTTATGGTTCTAAGGCATTACTAGATTTTTTCTCCGTTAGAAAATCGTCGTTTTAAACAAGAAAAACTCATATATTGAGAAAAATGAAGGTTTTCGGATGGAAAGTAGAATTTTTTGACATTTTCGCCTGACGTAAATCGTGTGATATCGCCGCAATTCGCAATCTCACAGACGCCGTCGGCAAAGGTGCCACCACCTCGACGTGGTAGGGGCACGTCGAGATGCCGGCAGGTCCCTCTCTCAAAAGAGCACGCTATTTCCCGTGCTCTCTGACCTGCCGGCAGCTGCCATCTCGCGGATTCCGCCAACTTGCCGGCAGGTTGCCGGCAACTGACATCGCGAAGTTGCCGGCAGCTCCTCCTGGGATTCCAGATATTTTACTAAAGGAGGAGTTCTGGAGCCGCAGATTTTTATGAAGTTTTCTACAGAGTCGGGGCGGCAACTTTATCGAGAAAATCTTTTGGAAAAAGGCCTAGGACGGCCTAAATTTGGGGTCTCCCTTTCTGGCCACCTCACGGAAAAGGTGCCAGCGAGCTGCCAACCAGACCTGCCGCCAGGTCGGGGGGATTACTACGGGCCATGATGATCTCACGTGGATAGTAATCTTGGGGCCCTAACTAAGCCGCTGCCCAACCGGCAGCTCAGGTAGTGCTCTAATGGCTGAGATATTCCCCTCGAAATTGGACCCCGCGATCGTATTCGCATGGATTCATGGCAGTTTCGCGCCAGGATCCACGCTTTGCGCCTGAATCCATGCGAAATACGATCGCGGGGTCTAGTTTCGAATGGAATATCTCAGCCGTTACACTACCTTAGCTGCCGTTTTGCAGTGGCTCAGTTAGGGCCCCAAAATTACTATCCACATGAGATCCCCGTGTGTCCAGACTCGCCTGGACGCTGCCTTTAACGATAACTGTTTACATCGTTCCATATTGCTGCTTTTTGAAGGCTGTATCCCTGGCAAAATCATCAGAAGCAAAAAAACAAGCAGTTTGTAAGAGTCAACTCACTCATTGCGGTATGATACTCTTCCGGGGAAGTACTTGCCCTAACCACTTCAATTATGCCGATTGATAAGTTCCTCCTGAAATTAAGAGGGCAACATTCTGAAACATGAAGATTTTATGCCCAACGCTGAAATAAAGGAAGCGAAGAAAAGGCAGAAAACTGACTGTTTCTCCGGTACATATGTGATCCGTATGTCATCGTTGTAAATTTGTATCTCGTCACGTTCTGGTGAGCTGGATATCATTATTATTACTATGAGAAAAAAGTCTCAGGTAGGCAAAAGCGGACTAAACTACCTTTGCAACAATGTGAACAGTCCAATGCAGAATATGCTGAGTGAAAACACAATAAGCAGTCGCACATTCTTCCGAAGTAAAGCCGTCTATAAACATACCTCGAAGGAATCTAAGCAAAATACGGCAATAGTAATGTGCAAAATCTCCAATGTCTTATGATTATGACACAAATCCTTTTAACAGCCGCTCATAGGCTGATCGATAGCTGTTTCACTACCTCTTCAAACGTGGCTCTTTAACACATGACGTCGCTTGCTGGACAGGGAGTTCAAATGTGTTTTTATCGAATGATATAGTTTTGTCTACATGATCAGTAGGTATACGTATATGTCTTGAGTCTGTGCTATGTGGACCTCACAGAGAGATGGCGGTGCGCTAGCATCAGAAAGAGTTGTACGACTCACCTCAGCATTTGGAGAATTAGACGCCGATGATTGTGGATTATCGAGTAAGTACTGCATGATGCACTCAGAAAATTTTTTGATCAAAACAAGGCACACAAATAATGCTAAAAAGGTGTTGAAACGAGTTCAAACATAAACCTTAATTTTATCTCCGTTGACACGATAGTATGTACTCAAAAACTTCACGCCAGTTTGATTTATTGCAGTCTAGATCGACTTTGGAACGAAAGAAAATGTTTAGTAATTGCTTTAGACAAGGTTTCATGAATTCTTTGATGAAATCCGACATTTTTCTTTTTGTATGCGTTTTCATGGATCATTGTTTCGTGCTCTTTGAAAGGTAAGTAACTGAACAATCCAAGTTTTCTGTATAATATTCTCAGAAGTTAAGCTGCAACGATTCAGTTCGAAGCATCATGACCTCGTTCAAATATTTTATCACATAATGTGATGAAAAACAAAAAAGATTCTTTATATATCTAATGCTTATGCAATGATTCCACTAGTTCAGGCAACTTACTGTAAACTCCAGTTATTTTCTCCAACTCCATGTATTAGGTCGGTGCAAAAGTTTTGTCAGTTTCTTCAATCCATCGGCAATCACGCTAGAATGAAGATAAACAAACACATCAAAATGTATCCGATGCGGAATTTCTTCCTCTTTCCAGCTGCTAAACTTCCATTGTGTTTCGTTGCGAGAATTACGAGATATTTGCTGGAAATTACAATCACTCGTTTTTACCATGTCCAACTTTCGCTAATTTTCAAAATTTTTATATGGGACTTTCGGCGGAGCCCTAATATCCAGCAGATAGGGCAACCTTTTGCCAACAGAACCAATTTTTTGTAGCCCTATGGCTTGTCTTTTAGGATTTTTACGACTTATCTCTTGAAGTGACCAAGTTTTACATTCAGCTTATTTTAACCTCGTAGAGCATGATACGTTGAACACTTTAGTCACCATTCGATGCAGATTTTTCTCCTCTTTCTAATACTTGTCTTTTTTTGCCCAGACAGGAGAAATTTGTGAGAAAAATTGCAGTAATTCTCATTTTTAGGAGTACGCTCTTACGTAACCTATGTTAAAAAATTTTCATAATTCAAAGCGAAAATCGCTCACTTAATTTGTAATGGTAGCGGTAGTAATAATCATGTGCTGAAACCTCAGTTTTCTGTAGGTTTTGCAGTGTTTGGTGCAATAACAGGTTATGCAATTTTTCCAAAACACAAGACTTTTAGAAAATTACTTAGCAAAAATCTGGAAAAGCAACTGATAAAAAGAAAAAATTGCATAAGCTGGCTAAAGGTTAGCCCTATCTGCTGGCTATCAGTGCTTTTTCAAAAGTCTCATATAAGAATTTTGAAAATTAGCGAAACTTAGACATGGTAAAAACGAGTGGTTGTAATTTGCAGCAAATATCTCGTCACTCTCGCAACAAAACACAATGTGAGTTTAGTTTAGTTTGGAAAGAAGGAGAAATTCTGCGTCGGATGCATTTTGAAGTGATTGTTTATCTTCATTCTAGCGTGATTGCCGATGGATTGAAATATTGATAAAACCTTTGCACCGACCTAATAAATAACTTTGAAAGAATTCGCGACCCATTCTGAGAGGGGAAGTTGGGGGGGGGGAGAGAAAGAGAGAGAAGCTTCCGCTTTACGAGCTTGTAGCTCGTCATTGGCTTGCAGCCAGTCATTCTGCGAATCTGTATTCAGTATTCGAAAAAGCAATACCGACGCTCTTTGATACTATGGTATGCAAATGGCTTGAATACAGGAAATTCCGATTTTGAGGATGGATTAAAAATCAACGATTTTCCAACAAGGTTGAGCAAAGCTCTTTCGTTACTAGTTTTATCCTGGAAGTTAGAACTGTCAATTTTCATCCGATAAATTGATCTCCAAGCTCTAAAACTGTTTTGGTGTCGATAAGTGACTTCAACCTAATCACCACTGAGGCTGCGTTTTTGATCCATCTCACCTCATTTGCATATTATAGTGTCAAGGAATTGTGCCCTATCGAATGAGTTTAAACACAGGCTCGCAAAATTACTGCTGGCCGAGCTACAAGCCTGTGAAGCGGTTCAAGTCATTGGTAAGGTGTAAGTGAGATCGTGTGCACGCTGCATAGCGTAAGGTAGGAATTAATTCATTAATATTCATTCATTTTATCTAGGAAGTTTTGTTAGGATGTTTTGTATCGGCTTTTGAGAGAAGAAATTGATTTGAAAGAAAAATTCGAAATTTTGTTCTGAAAAACATGCAAAATAAAGTTCAAGTCTGCTCTTTTAGGAAGTAGCCGTGATTAGATTATAGTCATTGGTGAGCTCTGTATAATAATAAGCTCTGTATATAAATAGCTCTGTATAATAATAGTAAGCTTACCTATAAGGATTGCTTGTGTTTTTCAAAAAAAACCCAAAAAATTTTCGTGTTCCAAGAATTGTTGTCCGCGCTGTTTTTGGACTTTTTCAATAAAAGATTTCTTAAGACTTGTAGAATCCATGTTCGCAGAAAGCGTCATATGTGGGTTGTAGTTTCGAGGAGCTCTATCGTCTCATGCAATCTGGCCATTTTTTTCATCCTTATTTTCCACCTGAAAATGAGCGACAAAGAAAGAGGGCGGCTTGTTTGCAACTTTTTGGCGGTCACTATATAACAGCTACAAAGACCATTTGTGATTGTACGCATTCAAACGTGGGCTGAGTTCCGACCATATACACTTCGTTTTCGGTTCCGACTACCTCCGTTCCATTCTGCGGCATCAAGTTTGTATAAATCTTAACCCTTTATATATCATAAACAGATTTCAAGCAAACGGATGCAATCTTCGGACATTCCGTAACTCTGTATTTGGACGGCAACAAGTGTCGTTTTTTAGGAAGTCTATCAAGTTCCATTTTCCTTTTTGCATACATTACTACTGCATGAACGCATATGAAAGCTCTAAAAACATCATTATCTTGTCTTGAGCGCTGTTATCTACACAAAACACGAAATCACCTCAGTATCATGACAATTTGAAAGTTTTAGCAAAAGTGTGGCAGCTAAGCACAAAAACTGACTTTTAACTTGCTTTTCCAACCTTTTTCAACCTTTCCAACTGTGATTTTTGAGTAATCACCTACAAGGAGTTTGATGCACTTGTTATGCACAGGCGATAAAGTAGATTCTTGAATTTGAATTCGAATACATAATGGATATCGCATTCCCTTCAACTCACAACAAAGAAATTCCTCGCCCATGTCCAATGTCGCAATCTCCTCCTCCGCTTCCATGTGTTCTCCATAAGCTAAAACATATTATACGACATCATAAGTGGATTGGTCGAGCGAATGTGAGAAGATGAGGAGAAAACACCAACGGCTAACTGCAAATTGGCTTACGAGGGACGGATAGTTACAAGGGAAGGAAAGTTGGTTGAAGTGCCTTTTGAGATGAGATGTTGAACCTTTGTACGTTTTGGAACGGTGATTCCAAATCTGCCTTCGCTGACTGCCTGCGGGCCTTTATGCAAGAAGTTATGAGGATTTCAGGAGCCAAAACCGAGCCGTTGAACACAAATACGACAGAAGAAAAATTCTAAAAAAATCTTGGGAAATGTTTTAAAACTTAAATGCCAATCCAATGTTCCCTCTGTCGTATTTCTGAGCCGATTATTCAGCGTTTTCGGAGTCTCAACAAGGGTTATGAGATAGAGCTAGGAAGGCAACAAAGCATCAATTTGACCCATATGATTTTGGGACGCCAAGAAACACTTTGGCTCCTCCTTTCGCCACTGGGCACGCAAGGCAATGTCGCTCTTCATGAGTGTTCATAAAGATTAAAACGGCTTCTTCTACAATATATCCAACGGTAATTTGTACTCACAAGCACTCTTTCAAAAAATGAAGTCGCAACGAAGAAGTCAAAACGCCGCCTACAAACGAAGCCCATCTGTACAAACTTCTTGCACTGCAAAAGAAAAACAATGTAATTCTTACAAGCGCTGGAGACTAAAGCGCTGGAGAAATTCTTGTTCAGTGTTCGGTATCTTTAGAAAGAGCACGTTAATGAGAATCGGAATATACAGGGGCTGGTAGTAATGCCCCCGACCTGGCGGCAAGTCTCGTCGGCGGGTCGCTGGCAGCTTTTCCGCGAGGTGGCCAGAAAGTGAGACCCCAAATTTAGGCCGGATTTCCCAGGCCTTTCAAAAGCCGCCTCGACTTTGTAGAAAACTCCATAAAAGTCTGCGGTTCCAGAACTCCTCCTTTAGTAAAATATCTGGAAGCGCAGGAGGAGCTGCCGGCAGGTCAGAGAGCACGGGAAATAGCGTGCTCTTTTGAGAGAGGGAGCTGCCGGCACCTCGACGTGCCCCTACCACGTCGAGGTGGGGCACCTTTGCCGACGTCATCTGCGAGCTTGCGATTTGCGGCGATATCACACAATTTACGTCAGGCGAAAAAATCAAAAATTCTACTTTTCATCTGAAAACTACCATTTTTCTCATTATATAAGTTTTTTTAAACGACAATTTTCTTACAGAGAAAAAATCCAGTAATGCCTTAAAATCATAACGAACACCGTCTTTTTGGCAATCCCTAAATCTCGTTTGCACCGATTTCGCCCTTCTCTCGCTCATATCAATCAGCTGTTCTTTCAGGGCAAAGTCTCTCACGCAATGTATCGATCCCTCTTACAGGCAGCAATTTACCAGCGCGTTCCTCTTATTACTGGTCCAAACTGCGATTGCTGACCGAATGGTCGAGCGGTTAACGCAGTGACACTTCAAGTTAACGCACATAGGTTCGACCGCGTGCGAGGTAGTAATTTTGCAGCTGTCTGCATCGTCAAAATTCAATGTGCGAAATGATTGCGTGCTAAGGTTACATAAGATTATCAAAACCTATAATCACTCCGCGAGCTGCCAACGGAGTTGGCATCTTTCCGCGATGTGTGCCAACTTGCCGGCATCTATGATGCCACCAGGTAGGGTAGATTACTACCGGCCAGGGTGTCCCGAAAGTTTGATTGTCAATAACTCTCTTACTCTGAAATCTTTCGAGGAGCTTTAAGTACCTTTTGTAGAACTGGCTCAATTTAGGTTCACAGAATAGAGCAAACCATCGATCACATTACTGTAGGATTACGGTAGGAACTTCCGGCGCATGGCGCCGCGGTGAAAAAGCAGCGGTTTCACATACTTGCAAAATAGATCTCAAACCTTGTGCGATAGGCTTTTCATAGACGCTGAGCTGATTAATCAACTTTGTACAAGGACTTGAAGCTTTCTAAATGGTGTTTCCACATTTTTTAGGAGCAACGAAATAACGGCTGCCACTGCTCACCTGCATAATGCGATCGATGATCCGCTTCATATCGTTTACCTAAGTTGAAGGCAGCTCTACAAAATGGTATCTAAAGCTTTTCGAAGGACTGCATGACAAGAGAACAATCAAGCAGTAGGCACATTCCCTTGAGAACACCCCGTATATCTTGTTTGAGTTGAATGTAATTTCCAATGAAAGAAATGCGCAAAAAAGTGAGAAGCCCCAATTTTTTCGTCACAAAAGTAAGAAAGTTTGGTCTTTTGGATTGAAAAATTTGAAATGACAAATCACAACTTTTATTTTCGTCCCTGAATAAGGAAGACTTGTCTTTATCTAGATACCAAATTGTGGTTTTCTACATTCATTTATAACATGCATGCGACGTTTGAAGGTAGCGGATGAGCGTTTAGCTCTGCTGGGACATAACTGTTTTTGAAGAAAAAAACAAAGCTCTAATTGACTGAGGTGTGATAGAAAAATCTTTAAACTACTTTATCCTCAATGTCATAAATAAAAAACAGCAGGAACAGTTCTTAGGAACATTTTATGCCAGAGCGAACTTATTTTTTCAACAACTTGTAAAAAGAGCATGGAGCATTGTTACATCAAGAGGACACTTGCTTTTTTTTGAAAAAAAAGTTGCTGAAACATCACATGCTCTGTTCAAAAAATTTGAAGCGAGCGAATCAGTGGTCCAAAGAGTTTGCGGAAATTGGTGAGTACTAGTTAGGTTTAAAAGAAGGTGTATATGGAGTGAGAATTTGAGAGAAGAAAAGGTTTGGAATAAAGCATTCAACCCATAAAATAGATCGGCAAAAAATTGAAGGAATTACTGCTAATCGAAAATTCTTCGGAAATAAAATAACTATCAATTTTCTTGCTTTGCTTAGAAAGCTATTCTGAATAAAATGTTTAGTACTCATTTTACGTGCATTATGCTAGCCTTGCTGATGAATCAAACAGATATGTAGTTAGCATTATCTGCAGCCTAATATATGCGTTATTCTAGTCTTGCTGATAATTCACACAGAAATGTAGTCGACATTATCTGCAGCCGGTAATATCCTACGGTAAACTTCGCAGGAAAGTTTTTTATAAATGAACAAAGGAATCAAACTGACAGATGGGGACAGATTTCGTGGACAACATTATCCAAAGCTACTTAAATGGCATTTTATTAGGTCATTCCGAAAGTAATTTCGCTTTTTTCAAAAGGCGCCACATCTAATCGAAAGAAGGTTTCTAAGAGATCTTGGAGGCATTCGATACAGAATTTCATTCTCTTTCTAATGGTTATGTTGTTGCAAAACAGTCAACGAGCTTTCAGAAAATAACCAAAATTTGCAACACATGCTTTTTAGGATGGTCAAATCCCATGATTTTTTAAAACTTGCATATCAATCTTCAGAAGGAGATCAAGTAACGATTCGATAGAGAAAACCTCATAGAATACAATACTTCTTTTTTCCCTATTAGCTTGTCATACATTTTTAACAGTTTTAACTGATGCTATCGATTTCCATACTCGGGCAGCTAAATCCTCGTAAAACATGAAAAGAAGAGCAACTCGAACACTTTTCGATGCAGCATTTTCTCCTCTTTCTAATAGGTGTTTTTTGTCTCCGATTTGCTTAGTTTCCGGGGATAAATTCATCAAAACTCATTTTTTTAGCGAGCCCCAGGCTGTACACGAAAAACTCGAAATTTGATATTTCGAATGCGTAAACCCTCACTTGCTTTGTAAAATTGATGCTAAGTCATGGTACCATCTTGGTAGTCTCAAAATCCGAGTAATTATGATGACTGATGCGATTGTGGCTGATATGGGCCTGCCAAAATCCGATGGTTTTGTTAAAAAATCTTTCAAAAAATTACGGCGAGGTTCACTAAGGTTTGCTCTATCGAAACGTTACTTGAACTCCTTCTGAGGGTTGATATGAAAGTTCTAAAAAATTGTGAGACTTGACCATCATAAAAAGCATGGGTTGCAAATTTTGGTTATTTTCTGAAAGCTCATTGACTGTTTTGCAACAATTTTAGATAGAGAATAAAATTCTGTATCGAATGCCTCCAAGATCTCTTAGAAACCTTCTTTCGATCAGATGTGGCCCCGTTTAAAAAAGCGAAATTACTTTCGGAATGACCTAATATTATATTGTTTTCGTTGGTCAACTAAATCGATTTTGCTGTGCAATTACAAACGACCGATGTAGCATTACTGCATCGTTATCGCTTCAGCTGCAATGAATCCTTCAATTTAAGAGGACTGGTAACAAAGACGAATCTATTTTCTAAATATCAATATAGTAAAAAGGAAAGTAGGAAATGAAAAAGGCGTTTTACGAGAAATATATGAGTTTGCTAAGATGTCAAGAAAAGGTACTTTTTGTGTCCCTACCTTGTTTACAGATCTCATGCAACTATTAGGTTGATGCAAAAATAATGTTTGGTAGCATGTCTGTAGCTACCAAAGCATGAATATAGAAAAAATGAATATAGGACAGCCATACGAATGAGGAATCGTCAGAACGGAGCAAGCTCTCAAAGTGACTACCAAGAATCTACCTAAACATTTGGCCTACGTAAAGTTTGATGCCAAAATCCGTGAGCATTTGGCCAGCTCAAAAATCGGGTATTCGCTAGGAGAAATCCTACAAGTCTTTCAATTGGTTATTACAAAGTAGACACACAGTAACGTGAATTAATGCACTTGCTGTAGTTTTCTCTCACTTAGATTTAAAAAAAACGAAAATCGAAAAATGGCAAACTCCGCCTTTACCCCCGCCCCTTTCCTCCAATTCAGATATTGTGTACCACAAAGCCTCCGAAGCATGGCTGTGAAGTTTCAGCTTGGTATCTGGATTGTTATTTGAGAAAGATCACTTTTAGATTTGAGAACCAGTATTTAGTATAGTCTACGGCCAGTATTTTTGCATAACCTAAAAGGAAGTTCTAGATTACAACAAAAGCAATCGTAATC